TCTGAGATGATGGCATTGTATTTAATGGCTACGTGTCTAATAACATTTATAAAATTGTACACAGTGTATATAAACCTGTAGGATTTAGAGGTATTGAACGATCAAGAAGAAAACTGAAGGTTGATTTACATGGAGTCCTATATGATAGGAACCTGACTTTTGATTCTAACTTAGCGTTGATGTTGATGATTATGATCATCAGCAATCTGTCAGACGACAGGTCCAGAGTCTCTTCCAAAACAATTCCTCCACTTAATGCGATCTAGAGCTTTCTCCTTCAAATGACATTATCCTCTTCTGTCCCCAAGGTCATCCAGCATCTTCTTACGTCTTCTTCCTCGTCTTCTTGTCACTTCTATCCGCCCCTCTATCTTTCCTTCAATAACTTCTTTTAGAAGGCAGTTTCTGCGTAAAACATGACCAATCCAATTAGCCTTCCGTTTTCTTACTTCGTGTAGGATATTCCTCTGCTCACTGACTCTAATTAACACTTCTTCATTTCTCACATAATCGGTCAAACTGATCTTCTCCATCCTTCTCCAACACCACATTTCGAAACTTTCCAGATGTTTCTGATCTACTGCCCTAAGTGTCCATGATATATGTAAGAAAAGGAATGAACGTGTTCATATTTAAATCCTTAAGTGAAAGGAGACATCACACTATGAAATTTAGTTGATAAGAGACTGTATTGCTATGCCTATTCTTAACGTCAGATGAGTAGTTACTGTCTCCGGTTGCATAACCCCTGGAGGAAGACTCCAGCACCCACTGGGGAGGAAGCTGGGTGGGCTTCAGAGCTTGTTTGAACGTGGAGGACAAATACAAGAATCCCTGACCTTTCCGGGAATCCCCTGGTCGTCTATCCCTTAGCTACTCACTGTATTGACGAGCTGTTCCGGCTACTGAAGTCTTTATTTTGTAGAATTCATGTAATTGTGAGTAATGGCTGTAAGAAGTCGGAATAGACTTGATTATCTATATCATTAAGTGAAGAAGAATGACAAGAATGCCGGTTCTGTAAGAAAAAAATTGGTTCTCATTTCGCAGTGTTACGATTCCTTTAAAAATATCTCTTCGAAATGAAGAGGAATCTCTCAGAAACCGGTTGTTATGTCATCAGCTGCTGTTCCAAAAGGAGCCGGCCTTCAGTTAACGTGGGTCTGCTGGCAATTCCAATCTCGCCTACAAATATGAGGTCAGCTGATGTCCAAATGACTGCATTTACGACTCTTGCGTAGCTTCGAATGATAGTAAGCTTGACAGTTATTTTATTCAGTAAATTAAGACGTTGAGATCACACTGAACGGTCTGAATCCATGGCTCGAAGAGCGTGACCGTGTTCAGAAATAATGAAACGGAACAAGAGTAATGCGTCTGACTTGCTTGAATCGATGGCTCGAAGAGCGTGACCGTGTTCAGAAATAATGAAACGGAACAAGAGTAATGCGTCTGACTTGCTTGAATCGATGGCTCGAAGAGCGTGACCGTGTTCAGAAATAATGAAACGGAACAAGAGTAATGCGTCTGACTTGCTTGCCGGAAGTATCGGTTTGAATCTTGATCCGGGCACCGACTGTCCTACTGTCCACTATATTCACTGTTCACTCCTTACTGATTTGGTTCCCTTTGAAGCATTGAGAGCGAGAGAGGAGGGGGACAAGACATATGTTAAGTGAGAGAAAGGAAAAGTTGCTGGCTTTCAAATTTCCCTGCTTGTCCTCTTATCAGACTGGAGATAAAGTGAAAGATTGGGAAGTGGAAAAGGTAAAGTGTTGGGAAGTGGAAAAGGTAAAGTGTTGGGAAGTGGATACTTTCAGTTTATGGACAGAGGAAAGAAATAGAGCATGATTTATTGAATTCGTTCGGAATTCTGATACTAATGTTCGGTGGGCTTCATTGAGATGAATTCTTGATGTTAGAAATGACGGGGCTGAGGCGCTGTATGTGAAGTATAGGATGCAACGTGAATTTTACGAACCAACTCGGCATTTTTCTTCGGACAGAGGAAAACCGCGGAAAACCTTGACCGATTTTTCCGGTCGCAGGGCCTTAGATGGAAACTGATTTCTAGCCAGCCGTTCGGCATTTAAACCTCAGTCTGTATCTAAACCTTCACTCGGGATTCGGGGTAGTGGCGGGCTCTTTTGTGCACGGCAATGAAATTTGAGTTCCATAAAACGTCATTCTTGGCTTGTCGAGCTACTGCTTGCTGCTCAAGAGGAACTATTTTCCATGGAATCAATTCAAGAGTATAAATATTCACACTGAAATCATTAATTTATGCAGTGAATAAAAATATTTGTAAGTTCCTGAAAAACAGATCCATCTTCTTGTTGCCATAATTTGATTAATGAAGCTAAAATTAGAAACTTGTGAACATATGCCATTTATGAATAAGTTTATCCTACTTGACGAGACAGTTTTGCGTTATAAAAGTAGAAAAAAGGAACGGAAGATATAACTTATTTAAGTGTTGTTTCACAGCATGCTTCACACTCCTTTAGATAAGGTGTCACAATAAATTATGAACTGTCATATTTCTTGGAATATATTTTTATTAATTTATAAATATATATGAAAGTTCTAATGAATTCCCGAAACAAATAGGTTCGTATTTTTCACATAAGAGTTTTGAGTTCACTTTCAGACATACTAAAAATATGCTGTTAGAATATAGAATTGTATAAACGTATTTGTTGTTGCAGCACTTTTCAGTACGCTGACTTTTCATACTCATTAAATATAAATATTATAATCTACTAATCATAGAGTTTATGACCTACAAAAGTCAAGACAAAACTAAATCTACATTGAAAGAAGATTTAACAATTCTGTAAAAAATAAGGATATATAATGAAATTCTTGATCACCACGAATTATTACGACCCATGATATAAAGATTATATACAAAGTTAATTGGACTAGTTATAATGTTGAATATATTATGTACTAAGCTATTTCGTAATGTGGCATATTTGGAGACAGTGTGTTTCCAGGTAAGAAATTGAATGTTGTAAATTCTGGAACAAAGTATGGAATAATTGATATGAAATTTCTCCTACTTTGGATAGTAAACCGTATTGACAGGTGCTTTGAACAATACACGTCGCTTTATTTTCTGTCTTACATATATAGACGTGATATAATGATTAGAAGTCACCATGTTTTGTAAGAAAATTTTCTCGCTACTTAAATTTGCATAATGTAGGTACAAGTAGCATTTTATGAAATATTTTATATTCATAAGTGTCTGATTAACGAAATACAACAGTGACATCGAAAGTTCTGAGATGAAAAATTAGGCGACTTTAAACGAAGTTAAAATAGGTAAGGGTAACTTTGTTCTTACGAAGTAAAACGTAGAAACAATTAGTAAGATATCTAAAATAAGGCTATCGCTTCATTGAGGTCTACTGGTAACTATTTGGTAAGCGATACATGAAGAATTCCTGCCTCTACAAATATGTCCGTTCAACTAAGGACACTAGAATGCAAACCGGTACAAGAAGAACACAAATTAATTAAAGAGCTCTGCGTGCAGGGAAGGCAGCCACTTGTTGCCTTTTCTGTCTGCATTTAGTTCAGTTCATGTGCAACAAAGACAGCCGGAACTTAATGCAAAATGTACTAGCGTCGATGAAATTACAAGAGTTCTGTCCACAGTTCGTGGCATTGAGAAGAGCTGCTATTTATGACTGAAATTATAATTCCTTTCACATAAAACAGTGAATTCATTTGACGATACAACTCCAACTTATTCGGCAAGCTACTTGTCTCACCTTGTTTATATGTATTGTGCTGGACTAGTTTCTCACAGTAGAGTGTGCGTACTTTTCCTCCTCAAAGGAAATTTCTTTGTTCAGGAAGAACCATGGTATTCTGTGAAACTATAATCATAACATGAAGGGATATTGGAATTATTCCTGTAAGTGAAACTTAGGGAAAAGCACTGTGTTTCAGTAGACAGCTGTCAGGTATATGCAAGGTGAGAGAATACGTTGTTTTCCCTTAAAATTTGTAATGACAACTGTTCTTTGCATCAGTATTGTATGAAACATCGTCCATTGTCTGAGGTATAATCTGATATTCATATGTAATGTTTTGAGACTTGGTTGTACATGCGCATATGGGAGTTCAGCTACCTCCCGGGCCTCCACGTGTTCTGTATCAAATATACGTCAGATAATGAAGAGGGTCCAACATCCGCGATATTTGAGTAAGGAGTGCTTGTGGCATTTCAGTTGTTTGAATAGTATCAGAGATGCCGTTCAAATACTGTCGAGAATGTATATGTTGTGTGTTTCAATACATAAAGAACAACTTTCAAAGAATTCTAACGAAATGAAAGCACAGAGTTTAAAATATATAGTCCTGTCATATAAATTTAGCCACGATTAGGAAAGAGTTAAATAGTTCCGTCCAGTATGACTGGTTAAGATTTTCTTATTTCAAGTATTCATGCCCTTACATGTTTCGGTCTTCAGAGACCATCTTCAGAGGGACACCTTTACATCAATACTGTTAGAAGCCACTATTACAGTACATATTCTAAAAGTTAAAATATATACATACAATATAAATAATATACAATTGGGTGTAAAATCTAAAGTCTTTACAACTACAGTGGCTGTTCCAATACATTAAAATATTTATAGTTATTTTGTTAAGATTCTATGGAACCAGCTTGGTTTACGAATTCCAATAGAATCTTAACACACTAACTATAAATATTTTAATGTATTGGAACAGCCGCTGTAGTTGTAAAGACTTTAGATTTTACACCCAATTATATATTATTTATATTATATGTATATATTTTAACTTTTAGTACATTTACTGTAATAGTGGGTTCTAACTGTATTGATGTAAAGGTGTCCCTCTGAAGATGGTCTCTGAAGACAGAAACATGTAAGGGCATGAATCATTGAAATAAAAAAATCTTAACCAGTCACAATGGACGGAACTGTTTAACTTTTTCATAATATCAGTGTGACGGACCAGAATGAAACAAATCAAATTTAGTCATGATTGTTTCATTTTTGAAAATATGATTTCTTGAATTGAAGTTTAATGAAATCATCAGCACCAAAATGTTCTGCATTCAATGAGCAGGCCTATTTTAATTTGAATTACATGCTTACTGCTACTTGGAATGTGTGGTACCCTTACTTTCGGCACGTGGCTGTCGGTACTTAAAGAATTATATGGTCAGAGCCTCACTGCAGTACGGGTTAAAGCGCACGGTAACTACGCACTCGCGGTTGTCTAAAATGTACCGGTTGCTACGTGTGACGCTGTCCTCATTTTATATGAGGTGAAATATATGTCACTAAATAATTTTTAAAAGCCAAGTTTTACAAGGATTTTGAAATTATATAACAGCAGGTCGCGAGGAATTTTTCTGCCTTGTCGCTTCAAGTATGTAACACTAACAGGTATATGTGAAGTTATGTAAGGCGGGTGTTTGCACTAAGCAACCGCACTTTCCAACAAGCGTTCTTATATTGCAATCAGAACAGGCGTCACCGTTACACTCAGTTACGCAAAGTGTAACTGGACTCTAATGAATTTGGAATTTTTTACGACTTTCTCTCTACGTCTAGAGCAAGTACATTCTCATCATGTGCGTGGATAATGTTTACTCCAATACAGACTATTTAAGAGCAGCGTGTGTTATTGAGTGTTGATCGGTGCTGCCCTCTTTTTGTGGACGGATGGCCCCTTCTTCGTGACGGTAGCATGGAATCCTGTCTCCCAGTCCGCCACGTAGTCCACGATCCGTACGCTGCCGTCGGGTTCCACCAAGCTATATTGGCCTTTAACCACATCACCGTCACGCTTTTCCCATGCCCGCTTGATGTCGCCCGTGTGCGGGTCGTTCACGCCGTACTCATAGGCGTAGCGAGGGTGGTCTTTCTGTAAAACACAGGGGCAAATCTTTTTCAGTGGCTCCAACGAGAAGGTAGCGTGGCTGTGACACTGAGTTTCAGTAGAAAGATGTTATCCTGTGTATCCCATTTGATTTGCAGATTCATAGCTAAGCAACAGTACATATTATACAATGCACAGTGACATAAATTGTTATTACGCGTATATCAGGCCGAAGGTTTAAAGAAAAGGCAGAAATCCCTACAGTCCATTCGCGGAGACGAGACTGCGTAAACAAAGCAAGCCCCGCGTCGCCACAGCTGACAGCAAGGGGTGGACAAAGCGCACAGTTACTGCAGTTACTCACTGCATTCGGACGCACGTTAACCTGCATTCAGATTGAAGAGTGAACTTTGGACGCCCCTGTAACGATACACCCATCACCTGATCGCTGCATGATTTCATTCAAAGAGCGAAGGAGATACCGCGTGCATTTGTTTACGAGGACTCTCTCGTCTCCGCGAATGGACTATAGTGATGCATTCAGCTGTGTTAGATATACAATAATCCCTTGCTTAATACAGTGGTCACGTCGCCTTTGATGTCAAAACCGTGTTCTGAAAGGGCTTGGTCATACGGGAAGTAATGGATGGGGTAAATCGGCCCTCTGAAACATACGTATGCAAAACAAGATAATGCACTTTCACCACACGCTAGTTTACATCAATCTTTTGTTCTACGTTGTTACTGTTCAAAATGTTTTTGCAGTAGCATTATTACCTTTATGCTTTGGGGATACATTTCGAAGCAAAACAGTACAGCATTTCATAATGAAAGGAACGTTAATCCGTGGTTGTCAGCGAGAATCACGGGGCCTCAATGAGGCTGGGTACACAGTCATAGCAGTTGACTACAGACCTGTCCATGCGCACATGTTAAACTGTCGATAATCGAAATTCGACTCCGTGCTATAGAAATTGAATGTATGCATAGAAATTCGTGTAGTTTTTATCACTGGATCAGTAACGATGTGACATTATCCTTCAGTTGATACGGTTTATTCAAATAGATTTTGTTCTTTCACACATGTCAATTATTTCAATTTACGTTACTTAAGATAGCACCTATATATCATTAGTTTGTCACGTGAATAGAAAGTAAATAAGTACCTAGCAACTGTCAACAAGATATTTAATGAAAGTATTTAGATCAGTGCCGGTCACAGCAGCCGAGCGGTCTAAGGCATGTACTGTCTTCCCTCGCTTGGAAACCGGGATCTTGGGTTCGAATCCCACTCAGGGCATGGATGTTTAGTTTGTGTGCGTTTTTCTGTGTTTGTGTACAGGTAGAGGCCTTGCGACGAGCTGATCACCCGCCCAAGGAGTCCTACCGAATGTGTAAGATCTAGAAAAACCGAAGTGAACGGAGTTCATGGAGGTAGGCCTAGGCCCACTGGGGCTGTAGTGCCAAGGAGAAAAAAAGAAAAAAAAAATAGATCAGTAACAGAGTGCACTTGCCCTGACAAAAATTGAAAGAGAAGAATAGACACGAATTAAAAACACTTTTAATTTTAGAGAAGGAGTTTCATGCCACACAAGACGACAGGTTCAACACCAGGACAGAATGCAAGACATACAGGTACGAATTACAGAAGAGGCTCTTCAATATAAAGACTGAGGGACGGGAGATGCTATACATTCTAGACCTGTAACTTAGATTATTAATACGTATTACTGATTGGTACTTGATTTACATAACGACGTTCTATAAACCGTATATTACGTGGCGTCAAATGGAAGGATGATACTAGAATCAGGATTTGGGAAGCATGTGAAAGGAAGAGGTTGTGGCGTCGGGTTATCGAACTGAGGAAGGTGAGTTGGGTGGGGACATATAGCAGAAGTTGGAGAGATAAGAGATGCACACAGAATTTTAGTACAATACCTGAAGCGAAGAGCGCAATTAAGAAACCTAATCATAGATACGAGAATTATACTAAAATGTATCGTGAAGAAACAGGATGCAAAATCTAGTCACCTGATTCTGAGTTAAAAGTTAATTTAATTAATATAATTATGGCTCTACAGCCCTTCTTTGGGCCTTGGCCGATTTTTCAGTTTCTTAATCTGTTCACATTTGGTTGGACTCCTTGGACAGGGGATCAGCCCGTCGCAAGGCCTCTGTCTACATACAGAATAAACGCATACAGACATCCATGCCTTCAGTGGGATTCGAATCCATGATCCCAGCGTTCGAGCTATCGAAGACAGTTCATGCCTTAGACCGCGCGGCCACTGTGACCGGCTAAATTAGTAATACTCGTAAATTAGCAAATATCGGATTTTGTCATAGATGTATTATTGGTATTTGGTCAGGTAAAGGTAAAGCTATCCCTGTAACAGGCTGTGGAGGCCCATAAGGTTGTGAGACATCGAGGCTAGCATATTTTCTAGACAATCGGCTCACAGATGGCAGTAAGGTTGTCAGCCTTACACGCCGTCCGTCCTTTACCCCCCGGGAAGATTCGCGGTACTCATTTCTGTTAGAGGCTGAGTCGGCCGCGCCATAGCTCAGGCAGTTAGTCGCTGGCTTCCCACCGCGGCGGCCCGGGTTCGAGCCCAGGTCAAGTCATGTGGGATTTGTGGTGGACAAAGTGGCACTGGGGAGGGTTTTCTCCGAGTATTTCGGTTTCCCCTGCCTATTCTCATTCCACTGACTGTTTCACACTCACAGTCTATCAACCGTAGCTGGTACAATAGACGAATTATTGGCTGACGAACCAAGTGGACTCAGTCTCACTCCACCTAAAGAACCTAAAAAAGACGTAAACTAGAGACTGAGTCGGCCCCAGGGCCACAGTGTGGCCGGAAGGATTAGGTCAATCAAAAATCGAATGACCTCATCTGGCATCGAACCCGCGACCTTCCGGCTTATAGCATTTTAGTTAGACTAAAATTATCCTTCAATGCCCATCTCAGCCTAATGACCTTTTACTGTATCGTACCACACCACCATTTGAATGACGATGCTAGTCTGACAAAGATCTCTTCCGGCAGTGTAAATAAGGTGCTGTATACGAGACAGTTCGATTAAAACATCAGCTCTGACTGTCTTAATATCGTGTTAGTGATATCACATAGTTATGGAACTGAACAAATAAGCTGATGTCACGGCACTTCTCTGTAGCCTCCGTGTCTCGGGAGTTGATAGTTACGGTAAAATTAACCCGCGTCGGTGGTTAATTAAGCACTACATAGGCCTGTATGGGAGTGGCTCTGCAGGTTCTGACATTCTTTAAGTCGGCATTAGTCGGAGGTTATGGTCGGCTTAATGCTTCAACCACTATACCTCCGGGAAAGAACCACAGGTACCAGTTTTGTAGGAGGATTTGTCGGGGCGCCATATTTGTCTGTAAGTGATGATAAAGAGACACGTAATGTTCCTGCTGGCAGTCGAATATTTTCCGTCCGACCTGTAACCAGACACTACATTGACAGAACTCTTTGTCTCTTACCTAACTAACCCCATGGAGCCAACAGTTGCTCAGCTACTAAGTAATTTCCAAACATTTAATGGAACCCGATGGTTCATCGTCCTGTTTACAAGAGCCTGCCACTGGTCCCTAACCTGAGCCAGATTAATCCAGTCCACATAACATACCATTTCTCTAAGATCAATTTTAAAAGTATCCTCCCACTTATGTCTAAGCCTTCACAGTGGTCTCTTTCCTTCTGGGTTTTCGACCAAAACTCTGTATGCATTCCGCTTCTCAACCATGCGTGCTACATGCCATGCTCATATGTTACTCTTTGACTTGGTCATTCTAATTATATTTGGCCAAGTGTACAAGTTATGAAACTTCTCATTATGTTCTCTCCAGCCTTGTATTATTTCATCTCTATTGGGTCCAAATACCCTCCTCAGCACCCTGTTCCCAAACACGCTCAGTCTATGTTCATCCCTTAAAGTCATAAAGCAAGTTTCATACCCATACAAAACTACAGGAAAAATTATAGTTTTATATGTTTTAGTTTTTAAGAGTTTAGAGAGCAGACGAAAAGAAAAAAAATTTGAACTGACTGGTAGCAAACAATACCCAAATATAATCAATTCTTAATTTCTTCGTGAATTGAATTTTGATTTGTTAGTGCTGTTCCCAAATGTTTGAGCTGTGCCACGTTTTCAAAGGATCTGCTCGCTATTGTCATGTCATAATTTTGCTGTGCAATCTGGCGAAGAGGCATCTCTGTGTCCGTAGCTAGACTTACTAGCGTCAATTACAGCTCTTTTGTTTCCTTTGTGGTATTTTTTATTTCTTCCGATAGACACACTACAAGCACTCACCAGAAGCTGATGAGTCCCATTCAATTTCAGTCCCATCCGGTTTTCTTACGAACTTTATCTTATAACTTTTAAGTTTGAAAATATTTGCATCTAAACAACTTAGGGTCCCATTACATCTGATATTTACACATAAGAATCTGGTAGTTTAGTTAGGTTTATTACTCATAAATAACAATCTATCAGAAACAACATGTCCCTCATTTGGGATCAATTTGTTCACCAAAAGTTTGGAGTTTAGCGCTTCGTCAGAATGTCGTGGGCATAGTTGGAACTATGCATTACCTGTCTTTGCAGTTTGTAGTTAAATTAAATAGTTCTTACTGTGTTTTACCTACAGAAATGAAGATTATGACTAGCATTTCCAAGGAGAACTCATAAAGCTTACTTTCCTACAGCACAGACTTCCAGTCCTGCCAACCTATTAGTATTACTACTTTATTATTAGTAATATCGGGTGCACGCGGTAGCATAGTTGACTGAGGCACTATTCTACAAACCGGGAGAGAGCGGGTTCGATTCCCGTTGATGTTATTTGATTTTTCAATTTACCAAATCCTTCCATCCGCCATATGGCCCTGGGGTCGACTCAGCCTCTAACAGAAATGAGTATCAGGAATCTTCCTGGGGCTAAAGGGCGGCCGGCGCTTAAGGCTGACAACTTCACCACCATCTTTAAGCCGAATGTCTAGAAGATGTGGGAGCCT